TTTAGCCTGTCTCATTCCTGGCGAGTTGTTCCACCATTCTTGAGATTTGGTTTGCATCCATGATTTGATACTAATCTTTTGTATAGCTTTCGCAATACCACAGAAGGGTTCTGGGCCATTAAGAGCTTTGTTTGCTCCTGCTCGGGCAAGTGAGTCTGCCTCTTCATTGCCCTCGTACCCTGTATGTGCTGGTACACATGCTAGAGACAATCTGTTCTGACTGCCCAGTGCATTTAGGGTTTCTAAGCAGTCCCATACTAGTTTTGAGTTAACTTGCATAGAGTTGACTGCTTTGATTGCCGCCTGGCTATCTGAATAGATTGCATTGGTTTTGCCTTTAAACTCTTGCCTTATCAATTCTTTCACGCAATGATGTATTGCAATAATTTCTGCCTGAAACACCGTCGCGTATTTGCCTAAGCTCAGTGAGATTCTTGTCTTTGGCTTGGCCCCATAAATACCAGCTCCTGATCCTTCATCAGTTTTGTAGCCGTCCGTATAGACAGCAATGTCTGCATTGATAGGAGGTCCTTCCTTCCATGCCTCTCTGTCCGTTATACTTATTTTAAAAGTTTTTTCAAAGCTATATTTTGGAATTATGCCATCCGTTGGCATCCCCATGATGGGGTCGCTTTCCAACTCTTCATATAGCTTCCTATAGTCTTCACCGTGCGCGTTGCTTATGGGTGCTTGACCCCTTGACAATCTACTCACGACTGCTCTGGCTTCGCCTTGAATATATATTTGTAGTGGTGGTAGGTTCAAGAGGACCTCTAAAGCGGCTGTTGGAGTGGTTTTCATTGCACCAGTGGCACTCAGGCACGCTTGCCTTTGAATAGCACTGAGCCTTCGAATCACTCCAGCCTTTTGTGTCTTTGGCCACCAAACTACTGACCCATATGCTATCATAGGCCTGATGACGCTGGCATAGAGCCATGTGGTCATTTTTGGTTGCAGTCCCCAATTTTTTCCGCACATTCGTCTGCACAGATTGAAAGCTACTGTACTCTTTTGAACAATTTTTTGTAGGTGTTGATTCCATCTTAACTTATGGTCAAAGATGACTCCTAAGTATTTTGCCTCTAGGGCGAACGGAATTTCTACTCCGTTGAGTACTGGTGACTTTAATCCTCCCAGTACTCTCTTTTTCGTGAAATTCACTATAGTGGTTTTATGAGGGTTCACAGTGAGTTCCTCCTCTTTACACCAATTGTCAATTATGTTTAGAGCGGTTTGTGTGAGCTCCGAGACCGTACTTGCGAATTTACCTCTAGCGATAACCGCCAGGTCGTCGGCATATCCTAGGCAATAATACCCTTTGGATGTTAGCCTTTTGATCAGTTCATCCATTAGAATGGCCCATAGTAGGGGCGATAATACTCCTCCCTGTGGGCATCCCCTATCTGCTCTAGCTGTCAGGGTTGTCTCGCCAATTGTGGATATGATAGCCCTATTTTTCAAATTGACATTTATCCACTGGCACAAGAGTAGTGGTACTCCTTTCCTTGCTAGGGCGTTAATTATAGAATTTGTTGATGCGTTATTGAAAGCACCTTCTATGTCTACGAATGTTGTTATAGCTATTTCTTTGTCCTCTATCGACTTTGCGAGTAGCCTGTTCAAATCATACAGTGCTAAGTCAGTTGACTTGCCTGGCTGATACGCATATTGGCGTTCGTTGAGTGGGTTTCTTTGTAATACCTCGTCTCTTATGTATCTGTCTATCAGTCTTTCCAGCGTTTTGAGCAGGAACGACATCAAACTTTGAATGCGATTCGAAAGCCTTTGTGGTTCGAATAAATGGACGCAATCCAAAATTATGATTTTCAAAGAAACTGCAGTAAAACGAGTTGCACTATATAACGACTTACCCTTTTGAGACTGTTCCGTGTCGTGAGATGCTACAAAAGCCTCATCCTCTAGCTTCTCAAAGGGCCCTTTTGGTCTGATAATGGTGTTAGGCGTGGAGACCAGCTCAGGTCCAAGGTTACATAGGCACATGCACAAAAGTCCACAGTTTCAAGCTGCTAATAGGGAATACGTAGCGATTTGAAGCGAGTAGCAATTAGCAATAAGCAATAAGTGTAATCTACAATCACTAATTACAGCATTTTGAATATAATGTGAAACCAACCGGGTTACACGAGAATAGAAAACTATTCAAAGACGTCGTCTCACTACGGAGTAAATCAGATCACTTGTCGTACCTATTTTCGACCTAAATATCATCGGCAGATTCATATGGGTCAGAGGTCGTTTTAGTGCAACAGGTGCGCGACACATTTAACAATAATAATGTTAAACAAAGGCATTCCGAAACATTGGGCGGTATGAGTTGGGCGTTTTGTCACCCACCTTTCCCACTTTGGGTAGGTAGATGACTGTCACCTTCTGCCATACGATGGGTATATATCGTATTGCTATACAAGCCTTGAATATTCGATACAGATGTGGAATTAGTATTTCCTGCCCTTTTGAAGCAGGATGGGGTATATTCCATCTACTCCAGGGGATTTATAAGGTTTAAATTTATTAATAGCCCACCTAATTTTGTTTGGCCTCGATATCTCTGTAGCTAGCCTTCATTCCATGGCAGTTGGCCTATTCGGCCTGCCAATGGTGCTGTCTGCCACTATCGGCTCATTTAGAATTACTGAGGCCGGAAAGTGTGCCTCAGTGAGCATCTTCAGACTCTCCTCAAAAGTTGCCGTGTAGGTATTGTCATTCTTCTTCAGAAAACCTACTTGGTTTACAGTACCTTCTTTGGCTAGCACTTTCTGTACCCTTGAACATGTGGGGGTTTCTGTGACCTCCTCACAGAACTTTTTCCACGATTGCCTTTTCGATTTCCTAATCTCTTTGTTGTACTGCGTGGGTTTATCCTTATATGTGGTCCAAATCTGGCCGAGTTTTGCTCTGTTGAATAGCCTTCGCACCTCCTCTCGTAGGGATTCGAGATGCTTGTTCCACCAGATTGTTTTATTGTCTTGTTTTTTCCGGACAGTTACCTTCGTAGGCGGCAACTATTGCCTTGCTTACTTGGTCTACTGACCTCTCAAGACTGTGGCTGTCCCTTATGTCAGCCGTGTTCCTTTGTAGAGATTCTCTGAGTGATGTTGCGTATCCTTCCCAGTTGGTCTCTCTGGGGTTTCTGTACTTTGTTAAGGAACGAGATGGGGTAATTATATCAAATCTTATTTCTATATGGTCAGAGCACGAAGGTTCGTCTGACACATGCCAGTTGACGATATTATCACATGCTTTTTCTGACGAGAGAGTTATATCTAGAACTTCTTTCCTCGCTGCCGTGACAAATGTTGGTTCGCATCCTACATTAGCTATCAATAACTTTTCTGTTAGTATGAATTGCAAAAGTGACTCACCTCTTACGTTGACGTCTGTGCTTCCCCATATAGTATGGTGTGAATTTGCGTCACATCCTATGATGAGTTGGAGGTTTGCCCTTGCCGCATATGCGATTACTTCGCCTAGTATCGGTGGTGGGCAAACCTCCTCGCCTGGGAAATACGCGGAGCTCACTATCCAGCTTCTGGTGCCTTCCTCTGTCGGCGTGGTTAGGAGTCCTGTAACAACATCACCGGTGCAAAGCACCGGTATTAGTGTGCATTTTACTCTATCGCTTTATACTATGCATGCGCGAGGTTTATTGTTACCTTCTACGTACAGTACTTTACCTTGGTTGGGCTTCAAGCCGGCTACCCTCCCTCCATGTAACCAGGGTTCTTGCAAGAGGGCCAGGTCGATACCCTCTTTGTCAAATCTCCTACATACCATAGCGCTGGACGCCTTGGCATGATGGAGATTCAACTGCAGAACCCTGATCCTACGGTTCAGTTCTGTGAACTGAACCCTTCTTCCGCCTTCTTTGAGGCACCTCCCTCCTCCATGGGTGTTGCGCTCTCATGTGCTATTTGCCTCTTGAGAGGGCTACTCCCACTTTGGGAGGGCTCTGCCTCGTCCTCTTCTTGTGTCTCTTGGGCCTCCGGAATTGGCTCGGCGTCTTCTTCTTGTTCCTTGACATGTTTCCCCTTCTGTCTGAATTTAATTCTCCCTAGATTGAAGTAGGGAGACATGTCAAGTTTCACTAGTTATTCCAGTGACTGTTTGTCCATGGAGAAGACCCAAGTTTGACCTTTGGCCGCAGGAGTTTTGCCCCAAACCGTCCAAAGGTGCATGTTTAGCCCATGATTTGCGACATTGAGCCGGTGCAGAATTTTTCCTGCCTCTGGCTTTTTCATCAGGGATGAAGGTAGTGCAGGCGAAGGTTTCAGGTAAGTCATCCCCCTCCAACACTGTCAGGGTAGCTCCCTCCCAGGATTTTATGGTTGGGATGACCTCCTTCAACCAGTCTGCACTAGTGCGATCCACGCACATCATAACCAAGTACCCCGGTTTATGAGTGCATTTTGCGAATCGCACTTGAGGTCCCTCTACGGGGATTTGATCCAGAGCCTCGGAGATTGAGTCCTGGACTTCTGTGAGCCTTTCAGTACTCATTTTCACCTCCGGGAAGCCCGTGCTTAATGATAGTTGTCAAACAAAATCACACAATGATCTGTTAAGTATAACTACACCCATATGTTAATCCATTACTGATAACTCACTCCACAATTTCACCACCAGGTAGTGCCTTGACTTTTGCCATTAGCAAGCCTGATTCATCATGATCATGCCCTTCATAAACCTAGATTTTCTGCTCTTCAAGATAGCAGATCAGCTGATATTTTTGTTGCTGTCTTATGTGAAAAGTTGTTGAAAAAGGGCTACATAAACTCGATCTTCCAATTGGTAGAACAATTTTCTTCTGTAATTGTAGATAATCAAATCTTTCACCACAATACAGTGTCGAGACCCGAAGTTCCTCTTTCATGGACCGCATCATTGATTGAAAAATACGAAATGTACTAATAAAATGTGTCACACTATTGAAGAGATAACTCATTTTTTGAATTGTCCTCAATCATTTTTCTTTTTTTAAGGTATAATGGAAGATTTGGAAGACATCAAAAAAGAAGAAGAGGAGAAAAAACGGAAAATGCAGATGAAGAAGAGAAAAAAATAATAATTTTGGGCAGTAGGTGAATCTATTATTTATAGTTTTAATAGCAACTGAGAATTTCAAGTGATTTAATATTCAATGTTGATGAATTTACTCAGAAATCTCTATCAACTGTTTCTGTCATAGAGTTTGTTAACATGGGAAAATCATTATTGAAGTCATGAAACAATTAATTTCAGTGATAGATTGTGCATGTCTGATAATTTTATACTCTACTAGATCGAACTAGACAGAAAATAATTGAAAACGTGTGAGACGCAACGAGTGTTGCACCTTCGCTCACGTGAAAACTAGAATTTTTAGGATTTTCTCTCCTGTTTCTATGAATAGATATATTAGTACATTTTGATACACTATGTGTAGTAGGGACAAATCAGAATCAAATATCACTCCTTTTAAAATTTCACTATTAGAAATCTTGAAGAGATCTACAATCTATAGTCAGTGACACCTTGTTTCAATAAGTACGAAAAAATCGAAGAAATATTAAATTTTCGCTTGGACATTGGGTACGAATCAATTTCTGAAATTTTTCTCAGCAACTGGTTTATTTCCTTTTATTGGTACTTTTCAGGGACAGAAATTGACAGGAAAATGTGAGTTATAGGTTTTTTCATTAGTTGTTCTTGAATTTACCATTTTTTTACTTGGATTCTGTAAGTGAATACCATGTTTCTTCTATTTCAATCACAAAACTCGAAAGACCTAAAAGGCTAATGCAAGTGTGAGGAATCGCTGAAATCTGATACAACCAGTGTGCTCGCGGCAATGGTGATCATGCGCGCATTGCAACATTGTCAGTTATATATTTTTATACGCAAATCTCATATTTAGGCATTAGGATGTAGTTCATATTTCTTATACAACTTCCTGTAACTGATGATCAACAGCTTTACAAACATCATATATAAAATTTTCACCACAAAATTCATAGACTCACTGATATTTGATAAATTACAATGTCTATGAACTTAATAATTTTTTACGAGTTCATCTGGCAACTGTGTGAGAATGTACCTCTGTCATTTTGTCTGACGTAGACTCAAGACAGAGCCCGATTAGTTTCAATTATGCAGTGTATTGATTTGCGCTTAACGTCTTTCATTAGTGATTTTGAGGTTATTGAAGAGTTCTGGTATTTTACTCCAGTTTAGGTGGTTTATTGTTGTTCGGGACATTAGATTAGAATAAACTAAATCCATTCTCGCGATCTGAGCATCACCTGTGATGGAGTGTCGTAGGTCAAGATATCGTGACATGCGCGACAATGTACACACAGCAGGAATGCTCAGAATACACAGACACTTCGACTCTCGCCGTATTTTCGTGAATAACGCACATTTTTTGGTGTTAACGTCGACCTTCGGGATTTTCGACACAATTTCAATATTAACATTTTTCTGGTGTTATGTGAATAATCAACATTGAAATATATCGGGAAAATCTATTCGGGGTGCCGGTCTTGTCAATGGTGGAACCAAGGAGCTCCTGAGAACATCAACCATCAAGGGCATCAGCCAGCCATCTTAGTAGCAACCGGCAGAAATTCACGAATAGTCAGGTATTTATCCATTCATAAGTGATGCTCTCGATATTTTTATTGTCAATGAATACAGTCCACCGCTTAGTAGCATTTTCTTCAATCGACTTATAATTTGGAAAAGAACATTTGGCCCTTCGAGCCCGATAGGAGATTTTAAAAAATTTCTTATAATTTTTTCTATCATTTCAATTAGTGACATAGGTACTTAACTAATTGTTTGATTCATAGTTTCGAAGTGATAAAGTGAAAAATTTTGAATATTTTGATCAAAATTCGCTAATTGATTTGTCTTAAATTACCGTTTTCGCATTTATTTTTGTTAGTCATAGTATAGTGACCGCAAATTTGTTTTGGTTTATTTTGGCCATATTGGAAATTTTAATCAATCGCTTCGACACCTTCATCGATGCGTTGACCGTTGAATCAATGAAGGAGGTGTGGTCTATTTAAGGAAGTAGAGTGGGTGACAGATTTGTTGCGCCGTGAAACACATTGATTTGGGGATCGATGACCAGCAGACAGAATCAGCTGTTTATTATTGTTTATTGAAATTTAGATTTATTCGATTCAGATAGTAAATATATTCATTATATTTCAATTCACGCCCGGAGTTTTGAATTAGATCGCTTCTTGTTGTTTACTATTTGCGCTAAGAACCAGTTTTGTATAACATGGCAGATAAATTGAAAAAACAACGCACGCTCAGGAATGCTTGCATTAACGAAATTCAAATTTTGAGTAATCTCGCAACGAGAGCCAAAACCGAGCCGTCAGTTCGCACGCTGTTTCGTGTTCGCTATGCGGAGATCGAAGACTGTAGAAACGAGTTTGATAAACAACACCAAGCGATTATCAATACGCTGGTGGCTGCGGAACCTGTGGTCGATATGACTTCTGAGGAGGCTATTTACGAAGGATTTCGTAATGAATATTTCGCAATAAAAAGCATTCATTATGACCTCTTTGAAACAGATCAATCAAATTCACTCAATCTTAGCATTCCCGGCGAGGTAAATCAAAATCATTCGCGTGTACGTCTCCCAAAATTAGAACTACCAAAGTTTAGTGGGGATTATACAAATTTTGCGTCATATATCGACTTGTACAATTCCTTAGTTCATTCCAATTCATCCATATCTGACGTTGAAAAATTTAATTACCTGATTGCGAGTTTACAGGGCGATCCTTTATCATTGGTCAGGACTTTGCCTATGACCGCTGCTAATTACGCAACGGCATACCAAACTCTAGTGGATAGATATTCAAATATCAGATTAAGGGCACAAGCCCATTGGAATCAAATAGAAAACACCCCCAAAGTTAACCCTGATAATCCAATCACGATTCGAAAATTGTTAGACACATTTTCAGAGAATTTAGCTGCGCTACGTGTCTTAAACTATCCTGTTGCTGAGTGGGATTTCATTTTGTATATGATGATTCATAATCGATTAGATAATAGCACGTTACAAAGATTTGAGTTAGAGCACGGTTCCACTGCTGTTCCAACTTATAAAGAGTTGACAGAATTTTTGAATAAAATTTGGATCGCTACGAATTTTGCCCCCTCTCAAACTCGTAAATCCAATAATAGTCCCAAACCGCAACAATGCAATATCCCCGTTGGACAGAATACGAAACGAATAAATTCGTTTTTTGTTAAACCGTCCACACCGGTGTCCTGTGTGATGTGTAAGGAAAATCATGTTTTGTATTCATGCCCTGGATTTTTGAGTAAAACGCCAGCAGAACGCCACACTTTTTGTAAAACCTTACACCTTTGCTTTAATTGCTTGAGCAATATTCATACTATCAAATCCTGCAAATCAACTCATTCATGTTTACATTGCAAAAAGCGTCATCATACTCTTTTACACTTTGAAAATACTAATAATAATAATGGCAATCAAGAAAATTCATCACCATCTTCGTCGAGCGATAATGTATTACAGAATTCACATTTACCCGCTAGAACAACGGCCTTATTTGGAGGTGGAATTGCTTCACCACATGAGAGTGTTTTGTTGTCAACCGCAATTATTGAAGTACTTGACGCTCGAGGGACTTTTCAGAAAATTCGCTGTCTTCTGGATTCTGGTAGCATGAGTTCCTTCGTTACACAGAAAACTGTCAATCGATTAGGTTTAACTCGTAAGGAATCTTTGATAGATATTCGAGGCTTAGGCGCAATGCAAACTATCTGTAATCTTGGTGGAGTATCTTTATCGCTCCGACCGGTCGATAATAGTACAATTAACATAATGGTGGATGCAATTGTGTTATCTAAAATTTGTGATCCACTACCAGGTTCGAAATTGTCTAGTGAACACTGGTCGCATCTTGCTAACCTAAAATTAGCAGATAGAAATTTCGCTACTCCTGCTAATGTCGACGTACTCTTAGGCGCTGACATTTTCGGTCAAATTCTGTTGAATGGACACATTGCAGGCAACGATGATGCGCCTACGGCGGTTAACACCATATTTGGGTATGTGGTCATGGGAAAAATTAACTCTCGTCATTCAGAGTCCATTTCTTCGCTTCTATGTACTTCAAAGGACATAGACTCTCTTGATGACACTCTTAAATTATTCTGGGAGATAGAAACTATTCCGGATAGACCAACCTTAGCGGCCGACGATGCAGTCTGTGAAGAATTATATATTCGGACATATACCAGGGATGAAACTGGACGCTTTTGTGTAACACTTCCCCTGCGAAACTCCGTTCCTAAATTTCCTGGTTCACGCTCTATCGCTCTACGTAGATTTTTGGGCCTAGAACGCAAACTTTCGAAAGACCCGCAACTGTATCTAGAATATTCAGATTTTTTGAGAGAATATTTAATGTTGAATCATATGGAACCCGTTTCAGATGCAGAGGAATCAGACACGGCTTATTATATTCCTCATCATTGTGTGTTAAAACCTCAGAGTTCGACCACTAAATTGAGAGTGGTTTTCAATGCATCAGCAAAGTGTTATGATGGTTATTCTTTGAATGATCAATTGTTTACTGGCCAAAAATTACAGAAGGACATTTGTTCAATTTTATTAAATTTCAGATTACATAAGTATGTTATATGCTCTGATGTTAAACAGATGTATCGAATGATTCTTGTCGCTCCTGAGCAACGTGACTTGCAACGAATTATATGGAGATTTTCGCCAAATGATCCGATTCAGGAATTTAGACTTCGTACGGTTACTTATGGTGTTAAATCTTCTCCGTATTTGGCATTACGGACGCTAATTGAACTCGCAGAGCAGGAAGGGAAGAGGTTTCCAAGGGCTGCATTAGCCATTCGCCGAGATACGTTTGTAGATGACATCGCCACCGGAGCTTCATCATTAGAAGAGGCATTTTGCCTTCGTGATGAACTTATCGAATTATTCCGGAAGGGTGGTTTCGAGTTGCGCAAGTGGTGCTCGAATGAACATTCCCTACTTCTTGACCTGCCTGAGTCGCATCGCACCAATCATCCTTTGTCATTCGAGCATGAATCCGAGAATTCATCTATAAAAATTCTGGGGCTGAACTGGAATCCTACAACTGATCATTTTTCCTTCAGTGTTCAATCACTCGACAGACCGTTTACCAAGCGCACTATGCTATCTGACATCGCACGGCTGTACGATCCGATTGGCCTGTTGGTTCCAGTGACATTTCTAACAAAACATCTCTTACAACAATTGTGGATATCAGGGGTTGAATGGGACCAACCCCCTGAGGAGGAAATCTGTCGCACTTGGTCCAAATTCAGATCAGAATTAGGTTTATTGTCTTCCCTGCACATTCCACGATATATTCTGACCAATGTTCATAAATCGTATGAACTTCATGGTTTTTGTGATGCCTCCATCAAAGGCTATGGGGCTGTTGTTTACATCAGACGTCTTGGTGGGGAAGCTGACATCTCTACAATGTTTTTATGTGCCAAAAGCAAAGTGGCACCGCTCAAACGTATAACCATTCCTAAGTTGGAGCTCTGCGCTGCGCTTTTGTTGGCGAAATTAATCAAATTTGTGTTGACGCTGTATAGAGATAATCTAACCTTCAATCAGGTTTGCGCTTGGTCTGATTCTAAGGTAGCACTTACATGGATCAAATCATCTCCTCATCGCTGGCCCACTTTTGTCTCAAACCGCGTGAGTCAAATTCAAGAAAACCTAGCTCCGACTCACTGGTTCTATGTTAAATCGGAGGAGAATCCTGCCGATGTTGCGTCAAGAGGATTGCTGCCCTCGCAAATGATCAATAATAATTTTTGGTTCCAAGGTCCTGATTTTCTTCGAGAAAGGGGTGATATTTGGACCAAATCTCCGCCAATCTGCCTTACCCCCTCAGAAGCTTCTGAGGAAGAAGTTAAGACGGTATTAATCGCAATTTCCGAGGACAATTACGTTCTTAATGATATTTTAGAGCACCACTCTTCTTTCCGCACCGTACAACGCCAACTTGCGTTCATGTTACGTTTTGTGCATAACTGTAGATTACCTAATCATAAAAAACATGGGTCGTTGTCTACACAAGAACTTTATGAATCACTTATGTTCATGGTTAAGCACACGCAAAGTATTTTTTTTGCAGACGAGTTGAAAGGGAAGGGCTTTTCCAAACCCCTTCGGAAGTTGGG